ATTAAAATATTCTAAAATTCAAAAAAAAATCAAAATCTTCATAATCTTTTAGAAATTAAATAACACACATTTAGAAGTCTAGTAATAAAATTCAAATCTTGGTTAAAAAATAGTTTATTTTTTTATAAATACACAAACATACTAATTATATAAAAATAAAAAATAATAGAAATTTCATATTGTTTACTGATATTTATTAAATTATATTAAATTAATTTTAAAATAAATTAAAATTAATAATAATATAATGCGTGTAGGATTAAGGCTTTAGGCGAGTAGGTCCTTCTTGGCTTCAAATGCATGTTTCACTAAAGAAAAAAATTAATAATAATATAATTAGGCTCGAAAGGCCGCCCAGTCTTGAGCCTTTTTTTACAGGGCTTATTAGGACCAGATCCTCAAGCCCGATTACTTTAAAAAATTTTAATTTTTAAAGCCTAAACCCTTATTTAAATAGGGCCTCCAAGCCTAACCCTTCAGGCCCAGCTCTTATTCCCAACTCTAATTACAATACATTATCTCATGTATATCTTTTTCAATATATCCATTGAAATGAAAATAATAAAACATTTCCTTTAAACAACTAGTTTCTATCATATCCATTAACATCAACTTACAACAAGCAAAACAAAATGTCATAATATATGACTCATAAACAAATTACTTTTTGCATCAATGACAACATTCCATCTTAAAAAGTAGACACTCAATAAATTCTTACACTTGCAGTTGGAAAAAGTCGAATCTTCATGCCAAATTTTTAGAACTATGAAATAAAAAAAAAACTTTCATGTTCAATTGCAAAAAACCTTTCTTTTTGTTCACAAGTGTCATTTTGCAAGAAGAAAACTGTAGTGGGGAATAGGCTCCAACGATTTGCAATCAAAAGCCATATTTGAATACACCAGCCAAATTAAAAAACCTACATACGTAATACTAGAATTAAAGTTTACATGAGTCAATAGTTATAAATAACTACACTGATATTTAGGAAAAATGACAATTAAGTTTCAAAAGGATTAATTAAATCAAGTGAGGTTTCAAGTAATTTTATGAGGCCAACAAAGTTCAAATGCAAGTTTCATGCTTTTTTTTCACAAATATGAGTTATAATTGAAATGACTAAAATATCCTTGTGATTGAATATAACATCAACACTTAACATATCATATTAGGTCCAACATTTTCCTTCTAAGCAAAGCTCCTTCTCACCATTATTGAGACCTACATGTAAGTGGATGAGAGACATGTTGAAGAATACTCAACCAAAAATACAGTTGCATGTGAATTTTCCTTTTTTATCTATGTGTGTAAAGAGTACAGTTATCGTACGTTATTATATCAATTATTTTTTAGCTGTGCAATTAAAATATATTATTTTTAATACTTTTTTTAACTGAAATTTTATTTAATGAGGGTCACATCACGTAAGGGCCCAACAAGCAAGTTGGGCTAGAAAACATGAATGAAAAGAACACTTAAAATAAAAGGCCCATAAAAATAAATAGGCTCTGGAAATAAGTCCACAACAAGATGGCCATAGTAGCAGCTGAAAAGGAGGATGAAGACAAAGCTTAATGTGAGATTGTTTAAAAAAAAAAAAAAATCCCTTAATGTAGGATCTACATGGTAGTGAATTAAAAAACCACATGATACTGAGGGTTTATCGCTTAAACCATTCAAATCTAATTTTTATGATTTAAATTTATAATTTTTCAATAGGTTTTTTAAAATAAAAAATTATTTTTTGAAAAACTGAAAATTAAGATATTTTGTCTTTATTTTAGATTTTCTATTCATTAAAATAATTTTTAAAAAAATAAAAATAAAAAGCTATAAATCTAAACAATTTAAATTATATGTAAATGGTTTAGAGATAATGAGCTCTTAATGCTCTTTTGTATAATGAGTACTGAAATTAGTTTTGAATAATGGCACAAAGAACTTCCTCAAAGGATGTAAAGATGCACTTGAGTACCTAAATGGGTCAGACAAGAGAACATGTTCTCGGAATGAAAGGCAACCTTGCTAATCAATAGTTACTTCCAAAAATTGTCTTAAAGATAACGTGACCTCCCAAATTTGATGCAGCAGATTGAAACACACTTCTAAAAATGTAGTCTAAAACCTAAAGAAACCATAACAGCTAGCTAAAAAGATGGACATAAAAAACCTGAAAGAGTAGCCTAAAAGTAAAAGAAAGGGAAAATATCATTCAAGGACCATAGAAGCAATTTAGTATCAAACAAGAACCAAAAAATTTTAAAATATCATTGCAAAACTAAGGGATTGATTTGAAAATAAATTTAGATTAAAAGACAATAATACCCTTACTTTTCTTTTTTAAAAAAATTATAAACTAGCAAATTATTTCTTATTAAATGTGAATAGGTACTTGATAATTAACAAATGGCTACTTGTTAACACATAATTCTCACTTGTCTCTTCTCACAATTAAGTTCTTTCAAATGCTTGAACTTAACAATTAGCAAATGACTTCTTGTTAAATGTGAATGGATATTTATTAATTAATGGGTGACTACTTGTTAAAATATGATTTACATTTGTTTTTTCCCATAACTAAATTCTTTTAGATTCTTGAACTTGTCAATTAATGAATTGATGGAGATCGCTCGACATATGGCCCACAAAGAGCTCAAAGAATCCAAGGAGGCATGTCCTACAATGCTAAAGTCCCAAAGTTCAAGCCTCAAGTGCTAAAGGATCTGGTATAAAGCATTGGAGGCCTAATAATTGAAACTCGAACCAAAGGTATAAAAGAGGCCTTGATTTGTTCGGCATAGGAGATCCAAGAACAAGAGTTTATGTTGTGAATAATGTATTTTGTCTAGACATATTTTACATTTTTAAAATAATAATAAAATCAATCAAAAAAATGAACTTTTAATAACAAAAAATTGTAATTAATAGGATTTAACTTTATCCTTTGTTGGTTAGAATTTTATTTATTCTAGTTCATTGAAACAACCAAAAATATAAAAATATAAAAAATAAAATTTAATCTTTTTAGGATTATATTTAAAAAAATATATTAACTATGAACTCTTTTCCTTTCTTAATTTCAAAAATTCAAAAAATTTAGAAAATAAATTGAAATTAAATTATTTTTTTGCAATTTAAAACATACATATCAAAATTTAAAAAAAAATTATTTACAAGATGGTGAATTATTTTTAATTAATTTGTTTTCAAAAAAAATATTTTCACTGACAACTTTTAATCTCGAATTACGTAAACTTTGATCCTCATCGCAGGGTATATAGGCCTCAAAATTCAATTCTAAGTGAAGTCCTCCTTTGTAAATAAATAAATATTTCTCACTTAATTATTATCATTTACATGAATAAGAAATGGATAATTAAAATAACTTTGAAGCCATATTAATTTAGCACAATAAACTTTAAATAACCGGCCTTTCAAACAGGTATTGTGGGGTGCCTTTCATTAAAGGTGTTGGATGAAATTCAAGCCCAAATCCAAGTAATAGGGTTACTTGGAGAGAAAGGCTCAAGGGAGATGCTACATCTAGTCACATCTTAAAAGATTATGGTGTGATCCCTTAGCATTCTTGAATGACATTGGAAGTATAAGAGGCAAGATTTTTCTAAATTTGAAGATCACTTGATTGCTCCAAATTGATTAGTTTAATATTTATATATTAGTTTAATATTTTATTTAATTTTTGTTTTTTATTTAATTTCTAGATTAGAATTTTATCTAATAATGTAATCTCATGATTTTAGGATATACAATCCTTAGATTATGTGATTGAATTTTATTATTTTATTAATATTTTTCTTCTAAACTAGAATACATGAATTAGGATTTTTAGGTTTTGAGTAAACCTATATATGGGTGTGCACTTCTTCATTACATGGTAAGGTTGATTTGAATAATAAAAGTGATTCTTATTTCTAGACTTTATAACTCTTATAAACTTAGTGCTTGTGATGGCATTTTATATTAAATACATACATATAAAGTCATGAGTCGACAAAGACCTCCTGCCCTTCTCAACTAACCATTATTAGAAAACACATCATGCAAATTAGTAGGTCTGGAAATTAAATCAAGAATCCCACCATCACCATTGCATCGAAATTGAAAGCTTGGTGAGATTTGAACCCAAATCCTGACTAAAATGTAACCATGGCTAGCTAGAAGCAGAGTGAGTTTGCATGGGAGAAAAACTATTGGACTTGCGTGGCATGCAGATTGACTCAGCGATGGTTAAAAAAGATTGTTGGCAGATAAATGAAGGAGACACCTCAGCAACTACTGAAAAATTAAACCATGGTTAAGTGTGGTTACTCCAACCATGGCAACTTCAAGTCCCCATTTAAAAGGGTAACACAGCTACATTAGATATTCTACAAGGTTACCAAACTGGTGCATCAAAATGGCAATTATTATCAAATTAGACTTTTATATACGTTCATTCATATAGGAGAGTGAGTAGTAATAGAGTAAAGTAAAAGAATTGTGGTTCTTTGTGGGGCCCATACCTCGCTCTCCCTCTTTTTTCCCTCTTTTTGAATTTTCTGTATATATTTTTTTATGTGAAAGCAGAGGAACATGATCTAGAGTTTGCTTGACATTGCACAATGACAAATAAATTTGGGAAGTAAGAAGTATAAATGGTTCTTTTGCTTACAGTCAATTTGTTGAAGTTGTATTTTTATTCAAAGAAAAAAATATGGAATTAAATGACAATTTTAACTTTAAACTATAGATCCAAGAACAATTTGAATCCTGAATTTGTTTTTAGTACATTTGAACTTTAAACAATTAAACTTATAGTCTAAAGTTCAAAATGTATTAAAAATAAGTTTAAGGTTCAAATTATTTATAAACTTATAGTTTAAAGTTTAAATTATCATTTAACCTAAAAATATATAGTGAGCATAAGAATTTATTTTCTAGACTAATTCGTGCAAGTTTGCATATTTCATAAAAATTAATAACAGAAGAAAAATTACTCTAATTTTGTATATGCCTTTGATGAAAATTTTGGGATCCTCAGCCACTTCTGACGAAATCTTCCAAATCCATGGATTTTAAGTCTTGAACGAAGTCGTTTTATCTGTCCGCCAAAACCACCCCATCTTTGTTTCAGGATTTTTCTTTTAGATGATCTTACTAGTTTCTTCATGTACCTACACCCTGCAAATTCAAAAGAAGTATTAATAAAATAAAACTATTAAAAAGTAATTTATTTGGTTGATATTGCTTTTATAAATTCCTTATTAATACAGATAGATTCTGGTATCCCTCTGACTTTTATTAATATTGTCTTGTCAAGTATTCATTTACTGTAGTATGAAAAATTAGATTTCAAATTTAGCTTGTTGTGGTAAGTTCAGTTTCTTCAAAGATTTGCATCGTTCTGGAAAATTAAAAACATGGTTAATTTTTTTAAAAATAACTTTAACATGGTATTGTCATTCTTAATTTGTTAATTGTTAATGATATAACTGAATCTCAAATTTAGTTGCTGAAAGTGGACCTTCAGGTTGTTTGGGTAGTTTGCTTTCTTCTGAGCTTGTAGGGTGTAGAACCTGCATTCAAACAAAGAAACATAATTAGTATCTGTCCGGCTGGATTTATATATTAATTTAACTATCTCATCAAAATCAACGAGAGATAACTAAGTTATTAACTTTTATTTAAAAATAAAATAAATTTTTAATTTTATCCCTATTTAAATGAATTTTTTTCAAGGAAAAATGACAGACTCAACTTAAATCTTAAGTCCCAAGTCCCAAACTTTAAAAATTTACAAGTTTATCTTTCAATTTTGCAACTTCATCATGATAAATTTACAACTTATTTTTGAAGTTTTAATATATTTAAAGAATAAATAAATTTATTTTTCTTGTTAAAATTTAAAATATAAATTACAAATTAATCATAACAAAATTATAAAATTAAGAGCCGTATTTGCAAATTCATAAAGTTTAGAACCTCCTTATCATTCTTCCTTTTTTTCAAATTTACATTACATTTTCTTTCAATGGGTTTAAATATGGGTAATTTTAGAAATTTATAGTAGGTCCATAAAAAAATTTTCTAAAAAAATAATTACAAATATTGATTCAAACAGTTGTAAAAAAAATCACAACTACAAAATGAGAGTTATATTTATAATTTAAATATTTTATTTGAAATTAAAATTCTTGAATTTATAACTGTTTGAATCAATTCTTACAACTAATTTTTAGAAATTTTTGTTGAAAATTTAACTATCATAAATTCATTATTTTAAAACTTTAATGTCATTCTCTATCAAGTATCTTATATTAAGGGTTCAAATATTCCTTTAGAAGGAACCCTATAATCACACCGAAGGGAGTGGGTGAGTGAGTGAGTGTGCGTGTGTGTGTCACAGTTAATGTATGCATGTAAGTATGCTACAAATAGTGGACATAGAGTTGCACTCAACAATATTTTTGTACCTCAACCAAACTTTCTAACTTCTTCCTCATTCTTCTTTGAATGTAACCTTTGGTGCTCTGCAGCACAGGTGTTAAATGAAGATTTCATAAATACACTGATGATTTTTAACAAGAACCAGTCCTGATGGACACATATACATGTGCCCGCACCATATAATACCTTTACATGATACCTCACATATGCGTTAAAATTTAATAAATTCCATAGAATCTTGTCTAGTTTTTTGCCTTCGACATGGCGTGAAGAGATATCTGTTAAAAGTCAAAAAGATGTGATGCATATGCATTAGAATCAATCTCACCAGGAAATTCTTTTGTTTTTCTTTTTATTTTGGTGATTTTTGTTTATCTAATTTTGAGTCAAAGTATATGGACCGAATGTATAATAACATCTAAGCTTAAGGTGAAAAAATACCCAAAAAAATTTCTAAAAACTTTTGGTATTCTTATATCAGTGACAATGTATAGGTATCCATTCTCTTCATAAAAAGAGAATAATCTTTCCCAATCCGCAGACCAACAAAGAGGAGGCAATTACCCCCACAAAATAAGGCAAAACTGCACTTACTTTTCGATTAAATTAAAATTGCACTTGCCCTTCTTTAAAATTACAATTGCCTCTCGTAAAAAAATCAATTGCTTCACACTCTCTTTAAAATTATACGATATAGATATTTAAAAATATTGTGTATGCTAATATTTATTATAAACATATGATTAAAATACAGTGATCTTCCTTCCATTTTGCTGAAATTACATAGACCTCTTGTCTATTTTCAAATCCACACTTTAATCTAATCTTTAACATTTTTAGAAATATTACGTTAAATATTCTAAAAAACTTAATTTTTTATTTCCAATTATGTTAAAAATTATAACATTAATTTATCCTTATGATCTAATTATCTACTCTCTCTCCCAATTTGAAAAAACTTTAAATACAATTAAATATGTCGGTATTGAAATAAGTAATTCAAAAATTTGGTGTTGAAATTAAGGAAATTTAAAGAAAAATAAACATATTGAGTAATTTATTATACTAAATTCTTATTTCATAAATTTTTTAACTGTGTGTTTGAATATGATTTCAGCCAATTTATTCATTTTAAAAAATTTACTAAATAAATACATTTACAGAATTAAAAATTTTTAAATATAAACAAAAAAGTAAAAAAAAATCTATGCATGGATTTTTTTTTGTAATTTGAATGGTTTTAGATATTATTTATATTTAAAGAGAGGTATTTTAACCTAATATATATAATTTGACATTCAACTACCATTAGATGAATAGAAATAAAATCTTTAAAATAGAGCGAAAGTTTGAGGTATTTTACTCTAAAAATAATTTTATGATACAAATGAAATTAATTTATTTTTTAATTACATTTTTCTTCAAAAAATATTTATATTTATATTTAATATAAATATTGCCCCTCTAATAATTTTTCATAGGTTTGTCACTGTGGGACATTAACCATTAAGTTACAAAAATATAAAAATTAACATATTAGGAAAGATTGACCTCTTTATATAAGTTAATAGATGTATATACCATTGTTAATTTAAAGAATCAAAAACTCTTAGATAAAAAACTTCTGAATATTTTTACACTTTAACTCTAAAATTAAAGGGTTTAGTTATATATTTGGAGCATAAAACGAAAGCATACCAAAAGTTACAAACCCTCCATTGGTACTCAAATCCTCAAGTGCTTCTCCCCTTAATTCTGGAGGAGGAATGGCTGACCAAGTGCATCGTGGTGCCTTGGCCCATTTGTCTGTGTTTCCAACATCCATAAGTTCCTGTCATTAATTATTGTGAAGAAATCAGGCAAAAGCACAATGGTTGAGAAATAATTACTTAGTCATGCTGTGTCACAATTCATAGTCTCATTAATATCATGAAAGGGAAAAAGTTCACCTTGAGCCACTTCTAACTATTTAATTGATCTAGATGGTCCAAATTTCTTTTCTTAAAATGAATTTATTCTTAACAGTCTTGGACCATCTAAATTAACTAAGGAAAAATCATATATGGATTTTAATTTTTAAAAACTCTCTTAAAATGCGCAAATAACTGTAAGGCCCCATGAACTTTAATTATAATTAATATTTGGTGTATTTAAAATATTAAAAATTACCTCCCTGTGGTCGGTGTTAGAGCTTCAATGACGACTCTAGTGACTAGAGTAGAGCCCCAGTTGCTGGCGATCAGCCAATGGTGGCAATTCTAGTGCCAACGGTCATATGAAGATTATTTTTAAATTTTCAAAGAAGAGTAATTCGGTGGATGTACACAAAAAATAATTACAATTAAAGTTCATGGGACTTAGGGTTATTTGTATATTTCTTGAGACTTTCTGAGAACTAGAATCTATCCATAGAACCTATGTGTGGTTTACCCATTTACTAAATGATCAGATTTTATTCTTTAAGATGACAGTCATTTATTGCCACAAAATTAAATAAGATCTATGGCTACATACCTGAAAGAAAGCTGTTGCAATAATCACATCTGTGTTTTCTCTAAAACGAATTGGGAATATTGCTATGATTCTTTGCGGCTGTGTGAAGAATGTAAATAGTTAAGATGGATAAGAACTAGCATATTATGAACAATAATTGTTGTATACAAATTATAAAGGTGCATTAGTGATAATTCTTGTCATTGGCCCCCATGAATAATTAATGTTAATAAGGGTATTGATTATTAGAACTGTGATTTTAATTAAAAGGGTGAAGGTGTGTGATTTTACTTTTGAAGTTTTTTTTCAAGGAGCATTCAGTATTTTGAACTATTTGACATAGCATTTTTACCCTTAAAGTAATAAAAACATAGCATTTTTTACCCTAACATTAAATAATAAATGTTGACTATTCATATGATGTACGAGAATACAATTTGATTATCTAATGGACATTTGTGATTATTTAATGTCAAGGTAAAAATATTACTATATTTTAATTATTTTAGGAAAAAAATGTTATACTAAATAATTTAAGGGGCTACTTGGTGTATCTCGAAGAATATTTTAAAAGTAAAAATGCACATTTATTATTGTTAAAATATACAATTACTTCAATGTTCAAAGGATGTACAGTAGATATCATTAACCATTTTATTTTTACTAAAATTATACAGACCTCCCATAAATATTGCAAAATTGTACAAAATTTCTCTCAATTTTTGAAACCTACACATTTTTCTTAAGAAACAGAGAATACATAGAGCTCCTTTAATTTTAGTGTTTAAAAATATATCTTATATTTTAAATTAAGAAAAACAGAGATGTTTGTCTAATTTCAATTAAATAGATCTAGACATGCTTGTCTATTTTCATCCTTACCTTTGGAAAGTTTCATGAAGACTTTGGGGGTGTGGGGGACAAGAAGAAGAGGAGGAGGACATCTGCGTACTTTTAGACATTGTTTGATTGGAGAAGAGGGGAGGAAAAATTTTTAAGTTTCCCCTCCCCTCCATCTTACCAAACAAGGGGAGGGGCCTCCCCTCCCCTCCCTTTGTCCATCCAAATAAGGGGAGGAGAGCCCCTCCCCTCCCCTCCCCTCTCCTTATTTGGTTAGATGGAGGGGAGGAAAAATTTTTACTCCCTTCCCTCCAAAACCTCCCCACCCCAAATTGGGGGTAGCCCCCCCTCCCTCCCCTCCCCTCCCCTTCTCTTAAACCAAACAAAATTTAAGTGCAAGTTAGGCATATGTTTGCTTTAGTTTTGAAAATAGAATAGAGTGGGTTTTGTAATTGTTGAAAAATTTAGGCGTGATTAGCGCTAGTTACTCCACAATATATCATGAAATTAAATTGAAAATTATTAAAAATACACTTTAAACAGGTATTTGACTTTCAAACTCAAGGGTGAACTTGGAAGCCTAAGTATAAGTTTAGTGTTATAGTCGAAAAACAAGCAAATCAAGCTTATATGGGTGTTTTAGCCCATAAGTTTAGTTATATTAAAATTAGCTACTTTTTGAATCTGAACCCTTATTCAACAGGTTCAAGGCCGAGCCCATAAGCCTTCTTTTATTTTTAAAATTTGTAATTTTTTTAAAATTTAATTTTTACATTATCATATTGTATTTTTTCTAAAATACAAATTATAATATTTAAAAATAAAAAATAAGCAATATAAATTCTAATTTTAAAGTATAAACATATCTAAAATATAAATTTAATTTAAAAATTTAAAAAAATTAGGGGTAAAAAAAAATGAGCCATCTGAATTCAAGCATACTTTTTACAATGCTTGAAAAGGCAAGGCTTCTAGCCCGGTTACACTAAAATTTCTTTATTTTTGGAGCCCAAGCTCTAAAAAAAGGCTTAAATGAAAAATATGTCAAACCAATCTCATGTTCTCAGCTCAAGCCCTAAATTTTAAGGTGAGCTTGGAAGTAAAACCATGTATAGGTTGCTAGCTAGTGACTAGTGAGCTTGTTTGAAACCCTTGATATTTAGCCCTGTTTAAGTATGATATGCATTTTTTTCCAACATGATCTGCATATTTGAATTTTAAACTTGAAGAGGGATGTTCTTCTGTGTAACTTGACATAATAAATTAGAAGATTTTGAGGGAATTCTGGAAATTATATACCTGCTTGATGAGAAAGAAAGGTTCTTTTGGATGGTAGACAAATTTGAAGGGTTTGTACATTCCCTTATTTGCATCATGAGAATCAACATTTTGTAGCATTTCTTTCAGCTGAGAACTTAGAACTACTGATTGAATTGTGGAAATCTCTCTGATGATTTTAACATGGTCTGGAATGGAAACTTAGCATCATCAATTGTCATGTAGAACTAAAATCAGAATATATGAATGACATTTGTAAAATATTCATATGTATTGTCTTTGTAACTTTATAAAACTAGCCTGTGATTCCCTCACTACCACAAATAACTGTTTTTACACAGGCTACAAAAAAAAAAAAAAAAACCAGTGTGAAAAGAGAGACAGTTTTGGTATATGCATATAGCACACAAAGATAACTTAGAAGCCAAACTACCGGGTCTCCCTGAAGGGACAAAAAGCTAAACTTTCTGTAGCTTATGAATATATAAACATACACAAATTCTCTTTTGAAAACCAAAGGAAGGTTAAAAAATTTCAGGTGGGTGAGTGTGTGTAATTTATTTAAGGTGCATAATTTTGTTAAGGGTTAAGGTTCAATTTTATTTTGGTACTTATTTTTTAAGAGCACTAAACAGTCTATACTCTTTAGTGAGGCAATTTTTTTTCCTAAAATATTTTTTCAAGGTTCAAAAATGCCCTTCTATTAGAAGACTGTTAACTTTTTTATTTTTTACTGATATGGCATGTGCATGAGATTCACATTTATTGACAGGTATAACCGTGTTCTTTGGTAGTAAATGCCCCTGAACTCTTTTCCCAAGAGCATTAGGCACCCTAAAATTTTTTCTACAAACATTGGGTCCTTAAAGTTTTATTAAAATAAAATTTAATAAATATTGTCAAAATATAAATATTTTCATATTTAATATTTTGAATGTTATTATTTATAAATATTCATTCAAAATTTATAAATTACATTTTAAATATTAACAAATCAAGCTAGCACTTTACAAATTTATAGATAACTTCTTATTTTTTATATATTAATTTTTGATCTTCTCTTCAAGATAGTGCTCAAATCATTACGCTTTTTATACATATCGAAACTTACTTATATTTTTAATATTAATTAAGTTTCTTAAATTTTTATGTCATTTTCTATAATTTTTTTGGTCAGCTAATGATCTTTCTCCAAAATACTATATTACCCATATTTAATATTATCTGTATGTTATAGTATTAGGAGTAAAATTAGAAACATAACAAATTAGGACCAATAATATGCCAGCAAAATGTTTGTTTGAAAGATATCGCTTATTTCATTAATGTGCTCAAAAAAATTACTTAACAATAGAAAAATGGAGAAATAAGAAGAAAAAATCCCTTCATTAATTTGAAGGTTCATTCCTTTCGTTTTTAATACAAAATTATAAAATATCAAAAATATTAAAATATTAAATCAGGTGGTGTAATATTTTAAAATATTTATTAAATTTTATTTTAACAAAATTTCAGGATGTTTAGTGCTTCTAGAAAATGACTTTAAGATACTCAATACTTAAGAAAAAGAGTTTAAGAATAAATTAACACCAAAAGATGTGGTCAAAGTATTACATATCACTATGTGTGGCCTCACGCACATGCCACATTAGTAGAAAACGAAAAAAATTAATGATTGACTAACAAAAGAGTTTTTTGCTCCTCAAAAAATTAGTTCACGGGTAAAATTGCCTTACTTAATAGTATAGGGTGCCTAATGCTCTTAAAAAATAAGTATAGAGGCAAAATTGGACCTTAACCCTTTTGTTTCTAGTGTTTCTTGCACAGGCATGTTAAAGGAGCATGCTCTTAAAAGGTGCGATATTCATGACTTATAAAATCAAACACTAAGTTTCTAGAATCCTTTACCACAATTTTCCTAAATATAAGTACTTAAAATTAAAGAGAATGAAGGAATAAAGATGGAGAAGTATGTGAGACTTATATGGTGAGGGCAAACAAGATATTGACAATGAGAAAAGAGAAATTATAGCAAATAAAAAATGGAAAACTGAAAGGAAATGCAATGGCACACTATTATTGTTGTTCTAGGAGGAGTTGGCACTCTATTGGTTTTTAGGAAACTTCACTGCTCTCTACTAAATGTGTGGCGCACTAAGGGTACTATGTTGAATTTACTAGAAGATAGAGGAAGTCACGTTGGGCAAAGTAAAGAATGGCACAAGGTCAAAGTTTGAGTTTTGCACAAGACAAATAGCTTGAGTTGTTGTAAAAATGTCTTTAAAGATTTGTATGTGTGTGGTGACTTTCCTTTTATAGGCATGAGATGGTGGTTTTTTTCATGAGACTATGCTTCACTTTTTTAAACCATTAGCTGCAGTTTTTTCAATAACTTCCCCCATTCTTTGCCATTTTTAAAGTGATGTGTTAGTTTATTTTCATAGCAAGCAACTATCTTTTTTCTAGAAGACTCATGCAAGTTAGGGCTAAAATTATCATTTTTAGCCTAAATAATTGGGTTTGGAGAAAAAAATCATATTTTAGCCAAGACAAATTTATTTTAAGGATGGTCTATGTAATTTGTTAAAAAAATTATCAGTTTTTAAAATAAAAAAATTATTGGTATCGAAACTTTTTTTGAATACAAGGTCACAACAATGTTTTAGAAACTAATCTAGATGTTAAACTGAAAAGGTGAGTTGGCTGGGTCTTAGTTTTTATGGTCTAACTTAAACTAGTGATGTGGTCATTAAATAAAAATAATATTAAATGTAAATATAAAATTCATATTGCTTCCAACATCTTTAAAAAAATGGTCCTAAATCATATTATTGACATGTAAATAGTTCAAAAATAAAGTTAGTTTTAGTAGGAGATCCACTTCTTAAATTTTTTCTGCTTTTTTGAAAAAAAAAATTAAGCTTTTTTATATTATGCTTATAATTATCTGGTTTTTTGAAAATAATTTTGGTTTCCAGTTCGCAATTCAATAGTGATTCAACTCTTATCCAACCAAATCAACAAGAAAAACAGTTTTTTTTTTTTCAAATGAAGCTATTGATAACTCTGGTCCGGTTTGTAAAATAACGGGCCACAAAAACCGTACAGGGTAACAATTAGTTCATGTGGACATATAAGTGCCTGTTTGAATTGAGGGATTAATCGATTTTAGGGGCAAAAAAATCGATTAAAGCAAAATTTACCCAGACACCAACTTTTTCCCACCCACAACTGCTTGATTCAGCTTCTCAGCTTCTGCATTTTTTTTTTTTACAAAGTTATATGAAAAAATTACATACAAAGGTCTAAGAAAAAAAATAATAAGAAAGGCACAAAATTTAATAAAAATAAAATAAAACTCTCTTCTCTTCTTTTTTTTAGTAAAATTTAAATTTTAGATTGTTAAAAAAATTACTAGAATAAGTATCCAAACAAATTGCGTTATAATATAATCAATTATAATTAAAATTTATTATTTAATTAATTATTTTTATAATCTATTATATTCAGTTAAAATTTAAATAAGTACTAAAGCTTAGCATTGAAATTGAAACTGAATTGAAAGAAGTCAAACCTTTGCCGGGGGAATGAGATTGAGGCTAAGGTTGAGACTAAGCTGGTATCCTGCCTTAGGAGGATCAACAACCTCCAAAGCCTCCGGGCAAAGCCCCTTTACCTTTTGGATGGTGTAACTTGACAGTTGATCTGATTGCGGTCCTTGGCAAAGTGGCGGCACAGATATTGACAATAATGCTACTTGAGGACTTGAGGCATGAGACTGAAAATAAAACAGTATCATCCCACAAATCATAATGTATCCAAAAAAAAAAAAAAAAAACCGCCTCAGGGAGTGGAATTGTTTACTGGAAAAATCGCAAATGAAGACTTCCAAATAATATTGCAAATAATCATCAGAACCACAAATTTATGAAATTAAATTTTTATGACCATGGTTCTTTTTTTATAATTTCAAAATAATACCATGATTAAAATGCCCTTAGATGAAATGTCAACTTAAAATTTGAGCTGATTTTTTTTTTTTTAACTTTCAGACTTGCAAATTTGGTCACCTGACAAGGGAATTTTATTTTTCGTCAATTTTAAATTAATTTTTTCATTTTTATTTTGTTTTAGTTGAGTTCTTTATAGTTTGATTGATTAAATTTTTTAATCCCTTAAAATTAAAAATCTTAAATTTTTCCTTAAAAAATAAAATTAAACCAAAGATTATTTACATCAATATTTGCAACTTATATTTTTAGAAAATTTTATTGGGAATATATAATTGTTAATTTTTTTTTTGAGACTTAACTACCATTCTCCTTTAATGTTAAGAAAAGAAAAAAAAAATCAAAATATCACCATAAGACCAAAAAATTTGAATTTCAACTAATCTACTTAAATCAAGCTGCTAATCCCACGAAGAACAGAGGCACATTTTTTGAATTTGGCCCCACGGACAAGCAAAACCAAAAAAAGGGAA